CCCGTGGCTTGGACTCCGCGTCGCCTGGCGCGCGTGAGACCGCTACTGTTGGGTGCAGCTCTGACTTGGCCTGCCACAGCCCCCCTCGGGATCCAGATGCTTTTGCCTCTGTCAGTGAAGTGCCAGACTCCCAGCCGCCGACCCCCACCTCCTCTCCCGCAGACAAAGTCGATATCTTGTCGGGACAAAGCGGCGATACCCAAACGTCAGCGCCTGCCGCTGGTTTGGAGGCTTCTGCTGCCCGGTCCCCCGCGACCGTGGCGACCACAGCTGGCGCGGGCGCGCATGATTCGAACCCGGCGCCAACACACCACGATGCCCCCGCCAACAGCCACCATCTGGTTGTCAATTATGGGCCAAGGCCGCTGCCCCCACAGCCCTTCACTCTGCTACAGCGGCCCATGACGCCCACGCCCACCCCGGCGCGCGCTGGGCCATCGCAGCAGCTCGTGCCGCCCATGGCTGGGCCAAACAGGGATGCGCAAGAGACGACGCCCAACCATGCCTCCCTGCGTGCTTCTGCTAGCCGGTTCACATCTCCACTTGTTGCCCTACGCCGCTCCACGGCTCGGGTCGCTGACAGGACATGGACGCTTGGCAACTTCTTGGCTGCTGCAACAAAGCATATCGGAGCCGCCCTGCCTGCGCCTGGTAAAAGGCCGCGGCGGCCTTTGAACTTCACCCCTCGTCGGGGACGATCAGCCTCCGCAGCACGCTCGCCCACGACAGTGCCGCCAACTGCTGAACGCCGGGCACAAGTTAATATCCTCCGCACCCTCGGGATCGTGGGCACAGACCAGCGGATCACCGCAGCAGAGATGAAGACTTACGACGGCATCTTCGCCGCGCCCATCCCGCTCGCCGTCCTCTAGGCCATTGTCGCGCTTGTCGACCGCGAGCTCCCTGCCGACGTGGCCCCTCCGCCGATTGTCTCCACGCGCAGCGTCGATGCTTGCGAGACTTAGACCTTGTTGAGTGGCACTCTCTTACCGTCGATCTTGTTGCATATGGATCACGGCCTTAAGATTGTCGTTTGGAATGTTCGTGGCCTCAACGCCCGCGCACGGAGATTTGCTGTTCGGTCACTGCTGGCCTCTACCGATGCGACCATTGTTTGTCTCCAGGAGACAAAAATGGCCATGATTTGCTCCTCGGTGATCCTGGACACTCTTGGTTCAGAGTTCGATGGCTACGTGTACCTGCCAGCGATTGGCACGAGAGGCGGCATCCTCCTCGCCTGGAGGAGCAGGGCCGTGAGCATCATGGACCCAGAGTTCTCCACGAACGCGATCACCGCCAAGGTTTCCGCTGGCTCTGCTGCCCCTTGGTGGTTGACGGTGGTTTACGGACCGCAGGAAGACACGGATAAAATCGCATTCCTCCATGAGCTGCGTGACATCCGGAGTGCGTGCCAGGGACCCTGGATGCTATGCGGGGATTTCAATCTAATCTACCGCGACGAAGACAAGAACAATGGCAACCTTCATAGGCGTATGATGGGCAGATTTCGGAGGCTGATCAATGATCTTGCGTTGAAAGAGGTCTATCTCAATGGCCGCCGGTATACCTGGTCGAACGAGCAGTCCCCCCCCCCCAACACTTGTGCATCTAGACAGAGTGCTCTGCACTTATGACTGGGAGGAAGCCCATGCTGCTTGCAACCTTCGCTGCCTCGCTTCTGTGATCTCGGACCATAGCCCGCTGTTTCTGGACTGTGCCCCGGTGCCGGCTGCCCTTCGGCGTTTTCATTTCGAGGACTTGTGGTTGCGCATGGACGGCTTCCACGCGACGGTGGACACGGCTTGAAGGTCTGTGCATGAAGTTGACCCCTTTCGCCGGCTGATGCTTTGCTTGCAGGCTACAGCACGCAAGTTGACAAGCTGGAGCTCACGATCGATTGGCAACATTAAACATAAGATGGCAATCTCGCGTGAACTCATTTCGCGCTTTGACAAAGCTCGGGAAGATCGGCAGTTGACGCCACATGAGGACTGGCTACGCAAACAACTCAAGATCGGCTATCTTGGCCTCGCGTCCATGGAGCGCACATTCGCCCGGCAGCGCGCACGGATAGCCACTCTGAAAGATGGTGATGCCAGTACAGCCTTCTTCCACCGGCAATGTTCCTTCAGGCGGCAGAAGAATAGGATTTTCAGCCTGACCGTGAATGGCCAGGTGGTCACCAATCATGAGCACATGGCTGAAGCGGCATTCACACATTATGATGCACTGCTGGGCACCGCAGTTGACCGTGAATGCACGCTGGACCTATCGGAGCTGATCACGCCATCTGACCTGGCAGACCTTGATGCTCCCTTTAGCGCTGCAGAGATCTGGGAGGCGATCAAGCGGCTTCCGGCGCGCAAGACACCCGGACCGAACGGGTTCACTGCCGAGTTCGTGCGAGCCTGCTGGACCACGGTACGCCAAGACTTTGTGGATGTCTTCCAGCAGCTCTATGAGATGAGGGGCCGCGGCTTCAGCAAACTCAACCAAGCGCTGATCACCATGCTGCCGAAGCGCGCCGACGCGACCACACTGAATGACTACCGGCCTATAAGTCTTATTCACCTAGTGGCAAAGATCTTCGCCAAAGTGTTGTCCCTACGACTCGCCCCGAAGCTGGACAGCCTTGTGAGTCGGGGCCAAAATGCGTTCATCGCCGGCAGGAGCCTCCACGACAACTTCATTCTAGTCAAGCAATCGGCCCGACTTCTCCACCAGTTGGGTGCCCCGCGAGTCTTGCTCAAGCTTGACCTTGCGCGGGCCTTCGACTCCCTAGCCTGGCCCTTCCTCATGGAAACCCTGCGCCAATATGGCTTCGGAAATAGATTTATGGAGTGGATCACCATCCTCCTATCTTCGGCAAGCACACGCATACTAATGAACGGTGAGCCAGGGCCTCCTATCTGGCACCGCAAGGGGCTCCGGCAGGGTGACCCTGTGTCACCACAGCTATTTGTGCTCGCCGTTGACATCTTGGGCAGGCTCATCAAGCGCGCTATTGACATGGGAGTCATGGCACGGCTACACCCGAGGCGCTCCATTCCCACTATGTCGCTGTACGCGGACGATGTGGTGCTATTCTGCCACTGCTCGCCCAGCGACATCATTGCCGTGCGGGAGGTCCTGACGCTCTTTGGCCGCGCTTCCCGCCTAAGGGTGAACTATGCCAAGAGCTCTGCCTCGCTGCTGCACTGTGACACGAACGAGGCGACAGCAGCACTTGCGCACCTAGGCTGCCCCATCGTCAACTTGCCGATCACCTACCTCGGGATCCCCCTCACAGTAGGCCGACCAACTGCTGCCCAACTGCAGCCCCTTGTTGATGGGATTGCCGGCCGGCTCCCCTCTTGGAAGGCCAACCTGATGAACAAGCCTGGGAGGCTTGCGCTGGTGAAGTCTGTGCTGAGCGCCATCCCCGTGCATCAACTACTCGCCTATGCGCCGCCTAAGAAGACGCTTCGTCAAATTGAGAAGATCGAGCGCGGCTTCTTGTGGGCCGGCCGCGCTGCCGCCAATGGAGGCCACTGCCATGACAACTGGCGCCGCGTTTGCCGCCCCATATCGTACGGAGGCCTGGGTGTCCAGGACCTGGAGCGCGCTGGCCTTGCTCTACGGCTACGATGGCTATGGTTCTCGCGCACTGACCAGGAACGCGCCTGGAATGGCCTGGACCTACAATTCTCTGCCGAGGAGCGAGCGCTCTTCTTCGCGTCCACCACGATGACCCTCGAAAACGGAACAACGACATATTTCTAAAAAGACCGCTGGATAAATGGGCAATCCATTTGCGAGATCGCCCCGTCACTTTACAAGTGCATACCCAAGCACCGGCGCAAAATCCGGACCGTCGCTGAAGGACTGCAAGGCCATAGCTGGGCCAGGGACATTCATGGGACCTTGGGCATACACGAGATTGGCCAGTACCTTCAAGTCTGGCTGGCGATCGAGCATATCACGCTCTCGGACACCCCTGATCAGCTAGTTTGGAGATGGACAGCCTCCGGTATATACTCTGCTAGCTCATGCTATCTTGCCACCTTCCAGGGATCCATGACTTGCTTCTCGTGGAAGCTCATATGGAAGAACTGGGCGCCGCCAAGAGTGAAGTTTTTTCACTGGTTGGCCAGCCAAGACCGGTGCTGGACGGCCGACCGCTTGGCTCGACGCGGTCTCCAGCATCAGCCAAGATGCCCACTCTGTGACCAGGCTCCCGAGACGATGCGCCACCTCCTCTTGGAGTGCCCCTTCGCCAGGCAGACTTGGCACGAAATCCTGTCCTGGCTACGGATGGCCACTGCAGGGCCAAGCCACGAAGATTCATTGATGGACTGGTGGCTGCAGGCAAGGCAAAACACGCCAACACTGATGCGTAAGGGCCTAGCCTCCATTGCTCTGTTGACACCATGGATGATCTGGAAACAGCGCAACGAATGCATCTTTGAGGGCGCCCAGCCCCTGGTTCAGGTCCTGGTCTCGAAGATCAAAGAGGAAGCCAAGCAGTGGGCAAGAGCGGGCGCCCACGGCCTACGCGTCATTCTGCCGCCCACCTGGGACGTGCACTAGTATCGCTGACCAAGGCTGTAAGCTGTAACTTGTAACTAACCTCCTAGGAGGATTGTATCAAAACTCCACCTTTTCAATGCAATGAAATGCAAAAGCCCTTTGCATTTTCTCGAAAAAAAAGAATACATCAACTCGAGTTATACATCGCACAGCTTGTTCGTCTAAAAAAGAAACTCAGGCACTATAACCTCCATACTGCCACACCGTGTAATCCATGAACAAACATGTACGGTTTGTGTGTCCAATAAAATGAGAACTCGTGTCTGTCTACCAGTGTGTATGCAATGTGCATCATCAAAAAAGACAACATTTGATGTTTGGATAAAGATCACTTACTAGTACAGCAGATCTAGCTCTGGTGATGGCAACATTCATTCGCCGAAAATCAGAAACAAACCCAATATTTTGCTCCTTATTGCATCGAACACATGAAAAAATGACAAGCTCCTTTTCACGGCCCTACATGTGAGCAACAAGATGCCATATTATAATCGCTACAACCCACTACATTACATAGAGCAGATCTGCAATGCATGTTAATAAACTAGTTACCTGGAATCCATCAACGGTGTTTACATCTATAACTTCCTTTGATTGGTCGCCAAAGGTCGACCGGAAATGGTCCTTCAAGAGTTTCACCTGACCCCTGTATGGTGATATAACAGCTACTTGAGAACTAGATTTGAGTTCTGGATAGCGCATGGCCAATTGGTGATATAGGAGGGTTATGAATTCCACTTCATCCTCATTCACCGTCGAACCACTTCCAGACAGCTGAGATTCAACCCCATCAACATCAAAGAAGCAAAATGGTCCAAAGCAGCTGTAGGAATGCCATGGACGTTTTTTGTTGAGCCCTTCCCCATCTTCTAGGATGCCTTCATAGAATTCTTTTGAAGGGAATACACTAATCTGTTTATTGAATGTATTAATAAAATCAGAAAGCCATCCAGTTTCCAGCTTACATGAATTCAGTGGGATACTACCTCTGGATGCATACGATACTGAATTTTGAGCATTTGCACGGGAAAACCAGCAGCTTGAAATCTCTGGAACAAACTTGTTCGATAACTGATGGATAGCTAGCATTGTATTAGCATTGCAACACGTTAACAGCGCGAATCAATTAAAGAAAAATAAGGGGACGTCTTACCCTAAGTTCTGAGCAGTCTTTGACATTACAGTTGCAGGCAACTGAACTGGGTCACCAACCTGGTATGAATATCAGAAGTGATAGTGAGGATACAATGTAACCACCGTGAGTAAAATACTCAAGGTACCTTAGGTATCAAGTATCAACATATCAACGGAGTACAGAAGATATGAAACGAAATGGTCAGGAACAGATGGCTAGGTACGGCGTGCGCGTAAACACGTAGAGGAAGAAATGAAAACAAATTTCTACAGAATCTAAGCTAATGAAATGATTCTAGATTTAATATCCACAAGGACATCGATAATACCATCCTGCTGTTGAGTAAATGAAGTACTTAACTAGTAGTATAGTGATTAGCTATAACACGCTAGTAGTATAGTGATTAGCTATAACACATTGACAAGGAAAAGGTAAACTGCTGAATAGAAGAGATGTGTAAAATCATCTGAGAAAAATAGATTGCGTACAAGAAAAACTTGTCTGCATCCATGAACCAGGGGCACAAGAGTCGCTGGTTCTACCTGAAAACAAAGTGCACATGTCAGATTCAGAAATAATTTGCAAATAGAAGCATAAATGATGCCATTATCAAAGCCTGATAATGTAAAGATAACATGCACAAAAAATATACTCACAGCTTGCGCGGCTTCATCAATTATAACAACATCAAAAGCACGAGTCATCCTGGTGAAAATGGCCGATCCACTGAAACTGAGGGTAGAAAACACCTACGAATTTTCCTTGACAATGAGAATAACATTTGCAAATATTATCAACAAATATTGATAACAACAGATGTTCGTACAATAGCTGCTTCGTCAAGAAGTGAAGCTCTAATCCGATCGTATTCACCAGCTCCTCGTCTCCCGCCATCTGATGCCACCCCAGAATTTTTTTGTTGTATCTGAAAATATTTGAACTCGCTATAATTGACACAAGTTAGACAGAATGCTTAGAAACTCAAATCACATACAAGGTAATCCATGGAAACTGCTTTGACAGAATGATGCGCCTTTAGTCCAATACGCACAATCTTGGGATTATAAGTGTTGTTATTTTCATCACGTATTCCTGAAAACATGCAATAACTTTGTTACTTAATTTGCTCATGACCAAAGCAATGATAAGCACGAGCTTACAAACAATAGTATTTGATCACAGACATATGGATGTAAGAATACTCAGTTTTATTAACATTTTTCAGCATCATATGACATAGAGCCGGAAAAAAAAAACTAACCTGTTTGAAGAACACGCAATACAATCTCATCAAGTGCTGAGTTGGATGGAGCACAGACCAACACGTGGGCACGATACTTGCGATTGGAACTTATGACTTCAGGTTTCTGTCCAGAATTGTTTTAACCATGTAAGGGATGAACCATACACATCCAGACATAATGGCAAATATAGTTAACTACCGAGTATAGAAGAGTACCAGATCATTCCCAGTAGGATAAAAACCATCATCACCATCGATAGGCATAATCAAATCTCGAGGATTTGCACCAATTAGCCATGGAGATGCTTTCATCCAGTTTGCATGCCTATCATGTAAACTCCACAGTAAGATAGTGCTAAGCGCTCACAAATACTTGTAGTAGAATCTTGCAGAATTTCACAACAGAAAACGCAACCAAAAAACACATACAAAAGTTCCCACACAGCACATGAAGGCTTAAGATAGATGCTGAAGGATCACTATACATGATAGTGCAAATGTAAACCACAGCAATCTTATCCTTCTGATAAAGTCTGGTTACACCCATGGATTTGAGGCATCAAAGAAAAACGCGAGTGCCAGAGAGTGAGTAAATGAAAAGCCAGTAACAGATGCAGCAATTATGAACATTTCTGGTAATATCCTTAATCTTGTAACCGCTACATGCTCATCACTCAGCATTTTATGCTTTCCTTCAGCGCTCCAAAACCAAAGAATGTCAGAAACTAACTAGGAAATAAGCACTTACTTGCTCTCTATGTCCAGCTCTGGCCCATGCTTTTGAACATCAAACCCTCCTCTGCAAAAGGATCATGAAGCATGTTAGATACATGCACTCATTTTTATCTGGAAGAAACATTACGACAAAAGAGAATAAGCTTCTGCAGATTACAGTGTCTATGTTTCTGTTGTAACTTTTATTATGTCATTTCTAATTAAAAAAAGAACATGATTTTTTTTGTCATCTCCAAAATAAAATTATCAATATGCATTGCACTTGATATTACAGGAAAGAAATTCAGAAGATTATTACCTAGTCTGCATTCTCGCAGGAGCGGAATGGAGAACAGCACTGAGAAGTCCAAGGATCGTTTGTGTTTTTCCAGTTCCTGGTGGGCCCTACAAATAAGAGTAGAACTCCACAGTCAATGGTTCATGCTTCTAAGGAATGCAATGTCCACAGATCTGCTTATACATTGTCCAGAAAATGCATAAATTCAAAATTGCTCTCACTTGACATTTTTCTTGACAAGGTAAACGACAATACACTGCAAGTTAGAACAGCAGGAAAAAGTAGCAAACTAACCTGAATAAGGACAAAGGATCTGCGCGAAAGACCTGCCTGCAGGAGACAATACTAGTCTGTTAGGCACATACATGTCCCTCAGAACTAGATATGACGACAACATCAAATAATACGAAGTACGCTCACATTAACTGCATCTAGCTGTGAACCATTAAGATTTGTTTTCAGGTAATCCATAAGTGGCTGAGGTACATTCCAAGCACGCTTTTGATCATCTCCATCTCTGTTGTTCTCAGAAGCTGAAAGAATCAAATCCTTAAAAGGATGTGAAGCTACAGAGTGCATTCCAGAGTACTCTCGCAGTATGGTAGATAAGCTGCACATCTGAGGATATTGACCAAAAAGGAATATCAAGTTCATATCTAGAAGTACATGCCATTAATAATTGAGACAAGCATGAAAACTCAGGCAGTCTTTAGTGACAACCGAACTCACCTTTAAAACCCACAGAAAGCTATTTTGTGTTGACAAAATGGAAGCAAAGCGCTGCAGCCTTGAAGACTTCACAGGCCGTGCAACATTTAGATTTTTGATTTCCCCCGCCACAAATGTTTTAAGAGAGAGGTTATCTTTACCACCTCGCTGTTCCACCACGGCAAAGGCATATGCCGTAGGATTCACTCCCTCCTCAAACTGCAAAATGCAGGCATATCCTAACTCATCATTCATCATCAATATGGCTAACCATGTCTGGTGCACAGTAAATGTGGGGGAAATGCAATCATGACTTATGCTACTTAGATCTGATGGACTGATCAATTTTCCCTAGGAAATTATCTGAAAACATTCATCGCAATAAGAGGACCTTTAATCCGGCATGTACGTTGGACTCAGATATTCATTGTTTTCCAACTTGAGATTTAACAACAAAACAGAGCGAGTGACCGGCAGTCGGCACACTATAATATCCACTAAATTGGCTGGGATGCGCCTGCTTCCTGCTAGCATGGAACTTACTTTCTCTTTGGAGAGCAGGAGGAGGTCATTCTCACACACACTGTCGCGGAGGCCATCGGACACCACCATGGACAACTTGTGGAAACCCTCGGACTCTGCACATGATGCCACCGCCGCTCTCTGCCAGTCCAGCCCAACCTCTACTCAAATAGACCACAAACCAGACACCAAGAACTGCTTAATAATAAACCAAGAGGCAGAAATCGAGAAATTCACACAAGCGGCAAGTGGAGCGAAGCCCACCATCCTCCTCCTCCTCCTCCTCGTTGCGGCGGCCCTGGAGGATCTGCGCCTTGACCTCCTCGAAGAGCAGCGGCTCGAAGACGCCCAAGTACTCGTCCACGGAGGCGTAGCTGTTCTTCACGTGCTGCAGCCCCTTGGCCTTGTCCGCGCCCTGCCCGCCCCCAATCAGGAGATGGTGAAGGTTCAGGGATTCCGCCGGGCGTAATTGCGGCGCGGTTAGTTGGAGCGGAGGGATTCGAGTGTACCTTGGAGTCGGCGACGATGCGGAGGTAGTCCCAGCTGAGCACGATCTTGAGGAAGCGGTCCGTGGTGGAGGCGGGCGAGGACGTGGAGGACGAGGCCCCGCCGCCGCCGCCGCCGCCGCCGCCGGGCTTGTCCACCGCCATGGATTTCTCTCCGCGGCGGGACAGGGTTTGGGGGGTTTAGGGTAATGTTGAGCTGACGGTCGACACGGCCCACCGGAGCCGGGAGAGGGGGGAGAGAGAGATAAATGTACTGGCGCGGGCTCCCGATGTTGGGCTCTTATTGCGACCGTTCCCGGCCCGATGTTGCCAACCTCCTCTTTATTGCAAGGTGATCATCATAGTACTTCCTCCTTTTCTAAATATAAAAGTCTTTTTAGATATTTCAATTATGACTACATACAGAGCAAAACGAGCGAATATAGACTCTAAATATGTATATATACATTTGTATGTAGTTTTGAATGAAATATCTATAAAGACTTATATTTAGGAATGGAGGAAGTATCTTTTACAAGAGTATCAATAATCTTTACTGATGGATCTTTCATTTACTCCGCAAACACCTTACTTCTAACTAGTTTGGCTAAATCATGAACAACACAGTTAGTCTCTCCAGAAGCATGCTCGAAAATAATACGCATGAAATCACATGTAGGGTGATACATATCATCAAAAATTGTCGCCGATAGACCGAAAGAGCAACACCCATTCTTCATTGTCTCTATCACCCCGATGTTATGGGAGTTCATCTCTATGCGATTACACCCGACTGTAGTTGCCAATTGACACCAAACCATAAGGGTAGGGCCTTGGCCATAAGCGCATATTTGCATCAATCGATTTTCCCGTGTCCCGATGTGACGATCTACCATTCGAGTCTCTGATGATAGCACCATACGAGCCTTTAGTAAGTCTGGATCAAAAGCCCCATCCTCGTTTAGCTTCACATTTGCTGCTTGGTCTCCTTTCATTTGGTTCATAGGGTAGGATTCCCTAAAAAAAGGTTCATATATGATAGGAAAATGCGAACGCTATATCTCCGCTTATAGCGAGTATATCTTTCGTCTCACTAAAGAAATTTCTTCCCCGTTGTAAATTGAGCCAACATATTCTTTTTCGACCGATCGCGGAAGTTGTAGGTTCATTTGATTTTTTTTTTCTTACGGTTTTCTTTCTTTCTTCCCGATTGTCTTGAGGTTTTCTAATTCCTTTTTCTTTTCATTGGCTTTTTTGTTTTTCACGGTTTTCATTGGTTTTCCTTTTTTTGTTATTTTCTTCAGTTTTTTATTTCTTCCTTAGTGTCTCTAGTTTTTCCTGTTTTTTTGTTTCCTTTTCTTTAGTTGGATTGGTTTTCTTCGGTTTTCTTGTTTTCTTATTTTTTTTATTTGGTTTTACTTTTGTTTCTTCATTGATTTTTCTTTCTTTCTTCATTATGTTTCGGTTTTCTTTTCATTTTTCTGGGTTGTCCTTATTTTTTTGTTTGTTTCATGATTTTCATCATTTTTTCTTCAACACGTGTCTAATTTTTATTTTTATTTTCAGTCTACACTTTTTTTATATGTCAACAACATTTTTCTAATACATGTTTAACATTTTTTAAATACAACTTTAACAGTTTTAATACATGTTCAACATTTTTTCTATACACATTTTTAACAATTTTCAAATGCTTGATTTTTTTTTGCGGGGTTTCAAATGCTTGATTAACATTAGTCAAAAAAATAATACATGGTCAGCCCTTTTCTATACACATTTAACATTATTTTTCAAAGTCTTGATTAAAAAAATTCAAGTACAAGATTAATACATGGTCAACACTTTTATATACACATTTTACATTATTCAAATGCTTGATCAAATTGTGAACCAACCTGTGGTTGAGATGGTTAGGTGGAGAGTGGTATCCCCAACCCACCAGGGTTCAAATCCTGGTGCTCGCATTATTCCTGAATTTATTTCAGGATTTCCGGCGATGCGCTTTCAGTGGGAGGAGACGTTCACGTTGACGACGAGGCGCCTACGATGGCTCCGTAAATTTCAAGATGATATGCCGGCCCAGTCTCTCGGAGGTGCTCATAGGGGTAGGGTGTGCGTGTGTGCGTTCATAGGGGTGAGTGTATGCGCGTATATATGAGCGATTGTGTCTGTACTGATGCTAAAAAAATGCTTGATCAAATTTTTTTCTATGCAGATTTAACAGTTTTCAAATGCTTGATCAAGATTTTTTCATATGCAAGATTTACATTTTTTAATACATGGTCAACATTTTTCAAACACTCTTTTATTTTTTTAAATGTTTGATTAACATGTTTTAGATACATGTTCAACCTTTTTTCACACTCATTGTATATTTTTTGTATACATTTTTCGTATACATGGTCAACATTTTTTTTACATATTTTAACATTTTTCAAATGCTTGGTCATCAAAAAAAAATTCAAATGCAAGATAAAGATTTTTTTAATACATGGTAAACATTTTTCTATACACATTTAACATTTTTCAAATACCTGTTTAATATTTTTGTAAAAATTATTGATTATCATTTTGATATACATGATAAACTTTTTTGACATGCATTGTATATTTTTTATACATGGTCAACAGTTTATCTATACACATTTAACATTTTTTATATGCTTGATCAAAAAATGTAAAAACATTCTGTAAAGTATATATTTGTAATATATGTGTTTAGAATATTTGGTAGTGTTAAAAAATTATAAAAAGAAATTTAAAAACAAAAAAAGTGAAAGAAAACAGAAACAAAAAAGGAGGGTTGTTACATCCAGTGCACGCCGGCCCATCTCACGCTGCCTTGACGTGAGGGTTCCCTTCTTCGCGCTATAGGCGAGACGTAGGGGCACCCAAAGGAATAGGAAAACCATACGAAATGAGATGTCATGTATCTCAAATTCTTTGAATATGAATAGAAAAAAAATGTCCTTTGATTCACATCCTATGATTTTTTTTTCACTGAGTGTAGGCTAATGTTTATTTTCCTAGGAAGTATATGAAGAATTCCTCTATAGAGATATGATTATCCTCCCACAAACCAAAGGACCCTAAAGGAATTTTTTACTACAATATCAATTCCTATAAAAATTTCGCCAAACCAAAGGAGGACTAAAGAAGAGGGTGGCGGAACCAATTGTTGTCCCTCACAATATCTTTTGTCTGAGCAAAGTTGATCATCAACTCTAACAACACTGATGCAATCTCAGCAATGCAAGATGTTTGTAATACTTTAGGACTATCAGCTGCTATTCCGGATGAGTGCTTTTATGTGGTGCGGGACTTCACCCATGTTCGGTATGAACATTGTCATAGAAAAGCAAATATTGTTGTTGATGAGTTAGCTATACTATGCAAATGTATTGCCCTGAATTCTTGGTTTCATGAGGTACCGAATCCCATCATTCCCTTGCTTGTTAATGATGTTGTGTTGATTGCTAGCTAATAAAGGGGTGTTGAGAGGTTCATAAAAGAGAGGATGGTGTGTTTGCTATGGGAGGTAGAGTGCATGGAGGCACGCTGTAACGCCCCGAGACCGATGTGCCAGGTGTCGTTCAGTTAGTCGCCGTCGTTGTCATGTCATTGGCTTGCGTGTTGCATTTCATCATGTCATCATGTGCATTGCATCATCATGTTTTCAAAACTTGCATCCGTCCCGGTCTCCTCGTTCCTTCCGTTGTCCGTTCTGAGCCCAACCACACTTGCACGCGCCCGCGGCACGTCCGAAATATTATTTTATTAGTGGCCGGAAAATGTTCTCGGAATGGGTTGGAAGTTGGCAAGCGGTGTCGTTTTGTTGTCAGTAGACCGCCTGCCAAGTTTCATCGCATTCGGAGTCCGTTTGACGTCCCAACGGATTAATATAGCGGCAATAGTAGCTGGTCTAACGTCGGACGTTTTCGGTCTCCGGAAACAGTCGCCGGGCCTCCCTCTCTTCTCTTCTCTCAGCTCGAGACCGTCTGCACAGCTCACTACCTACCGCCGGGTCCAACCTAACCTCTCTCGTCAGCCCGCCGCCCTCCTCGCGCGCGTCCGAAAGTTTTCCCGAACCCGACCCGGACTGTCGCCACCGTTGTGTCCGGATCATCCCCAAACGTCTACAAAACGTCTCCGTTTTGTTATTTGGGCTCCCTAACTATTTTATGCGCGACCGTCCGATTTTAATCGAAGGGACCAGATGCCCCTAAGCCTACCCACTCGCTATATATTCAGCCTAACCCTAGGCCGGCTGTCCCATCCCCATCCTCCCGCCGCCACCGCTTGGTCGCTCCCCTCGGGATCCCCCCTCGATCCAGATCCACCAACCTCGCAGCGCCCCAATCCATCCATCCCATCCTGCCTCCGACCATCGTCCTCAATTTCAGCGCCACCCAACCAACCACCGCACCCCGACGCCTCCTAGTCCCCGCAGCCGCGCAAGCACCCATGGAGGCGTGCATCCTCAAGCCCGTGCTCCTGCTCGACTCCGCCGAGCGCAGCCGCCTCCCTGCCCGATCCACCCATGGATCCATCCAGCCTCGTCGTTCCCCAGCCTCGCCCGCATCAGGGTCCGCCGGATCCTGGCCATGCCCTCGCCGGAGAACACCGTCGCGCGCCTGGTTCAGCTCGCCGTCGTCCTTCATCCCGCAGCGCCCGAGCCCCAACGCCCTGCTTGCCTCCTCTATTACGTTCGAGCAGGGAGGACGACGAGTGCTCGACCGGAGCCCCGTTCTCCCTCCTGCGCTCGACCTCGTCCCCAACTACCTGCATCCAGGAGCCGGCCGCCTCCACCTCCGTCGGAGCACCACCGGGCCAGCAGCGCCCCGCGCCCGTCCTCGCGACCAGCTGCGTTGCCGTCGACCACCAGCCCCAGGCCCATGCTCGACAGCCCTGCCCCTCTTTCTGCTCCTCTACTTCCCCTCTCTCTCACCCGACTCCCTCCCTCTGTTTGCCTACAGAGTTCGTCTGCTGCCATGGATGCCTCCTCGAGCTCCCGTTCGCCTCGCGGTCGCCGGGAACCGATGCCCCGTGGCCGGATCCGTCAAGCTCCGCCTCCCTGCACCGAGTCCCTCGCCGGAGTGAACTCGTCCCCAAGCCCTCATCGCCGGCCTCCCGTGCTGCTGTTTTTGTTCTTCAGAAACGAGAGC